CGCCAACTGCGCCCCGCGGCCGGGACAGGGACACTGCACATCGCGACCACAGGAACTAGCTTCCGGGCCCCGCGCCTGCGCAATCCAAGCCACCACCCGCCACGCGGTAGCCATGACGACGACGCCGGGAACTGCACGTGCTTCCTGAGACCACGCCGGAACCCCGCCCATAGCCTGCAGCCCGCGGCTGGGCCCATGCCGCACCCGCCCCAGGTGGGGTCTCCACCCGCAGCCTCGGCAGGGTCCCAGCCCTGCTGTGCTCCTGGGAGCCAGGCCTAGTGCTCCCGCAGGCTCCTCCTCTGCTGGGGAGGGAAGGGGCGCGCCTCCTCCCTTCTGCCACCCCAGGTCCTGGTGGGCTAATCCCCCAAATCTGCAGACCACAGGGACTCCCCACCTTGGCCGGGCCCACAGAGCTCCGCCCTCACCCCAACACCCGCGCCTGGAGCAGCTGGTCTCCTGGGCCAGGCCCCAGCTGCTGCCCCGGTCCTCCTTCCTTCCTCCTTCCTTCCGGGGCCCTGCCCACCCCACGCGGAGGCTTGGCCTTAGGTGACAAGGAAGGCACATGGAACCGGGCCGACTCCGGATTCTTTCTGGAGGTTACCCTGGAAGGCCCTAAGATTCCGGCTTGGATCTGCTGTAAGTGAACTCACCCCCAAGGGATGGAGATTCTGCCGGAAACCGGCCTGCGGTGCCGTCCGTGTGGGCACTGCGGCCGTGCCTGGGCCTAGCCTGGACCTAGCAGGGGGCTGGCCTCGTGACCGCCACCGCCAGGCTCCGGTGTCTCGCAGGCTGGGTTCTGAAATCGTGGTCCCCCTGCCTCACCTTCCCCCTGCCATGCCAGGCTCTCAGACCAGCTCGGGCTCAGGCCCCCCGCGTGGACGCCACTGTGCTCAGCTTCCAGGATGGACAGAACTGGACATGGGCCTGCAGGGGCCCCAGCCCGGGCAGCCCAGCATCCGTGTGGCCTGCGGCATGTGGCCTGCTGGAGGAGTCTGACCCGGTGAGGCCCCAGGATCTGTCTGAGCCCCTGACCTTTGAGCTCCGCTTCCGGTCGGATCAACAGTTGGCAAGGCTACTGTTGTGCACCACCCGACCTTGGAACAAAGCTTGGGTCAGTTAGCATGTCAGCAAGGCTGCCTGCTATTTGCTCCAGAGAACTGAGGCAGCCTCACTGGGAAGCGACCCCCCTCTGACTCCCCAATTTACTACTATGAAAGAATTGCATAGCTCTCCTATACATCCTGAGTGTATGATAAAATCTTCCAGGAAGTCCCCCAACCGACCGCTCCCCTTTGCTCTGATCACTTACTATTAATTACAATGCTTTATCTCCATGGTCACAATAGAGGGTGGGCTGAAGTTCGTTCTAGGCAGAAGAATCTTGACCTTTGGAAGGCCCTTAAATTCTTCCTTTCTTTATGTAAAATAGGATTAGGCCAAAACTGGCCCAGGACACCTCTGCCCTCTCCAAGTGAAATAGATAAATATATTAGGATTCCTCAAATTAAGTTTTAGATTCCTACAAAACTGTATAAGTATCATTCTTTATTAAGATCCATAAGAACTAATATCTATTCTTGAGATTTTCTTTTCTCAGCACCATTCTCAGTAATCACAAGATGGCTCCTGCGCCGCATCTGCTTACCGGAACCGCTTTCCCGAAACTGCATTCCATGGAGACCCACCTACAATTGAGGAACTGCACTAGACCCACCCTTAATCCACCCCTGAATAGGAA